CATGTCTCTATGTGACCAGCGTGGTAATACGTGATCTATCACTCATAACACTATTGTTTTCCTTTTTGTCTCTTCAGTTTGGGTTTTCTTTGGGGGGGAGGAGGGGAGTGTAGCATACAAAAAAAGTAAGTTGCATGGTGACATTGCTGCATCTGTATACTATTCTATTTTGTTCTTTTTTAATTGTATGATTTATTATTGTAGGTGTGTGTGTGTGTAAATGCCATGTTATTTTAGAGTAAGCCATGATATCCACATGCTGCAGTGTGTGTGTGTGTGTGTGTGTGTGTGTGTGTGTGTGTGTGGAGGTCAGAGGACAGCTTTCAGGAACTGCTTCTCTCCACTGTGCTTGCCAAGGGCCTGATGTCTTCAGGTTTGTATGACAAGTGCTCTTACCTTCTGAGTCATCTTGCTAACCCAATTTTGGAAGTGTTTGTTTGTTCAGATGGGGACTCGCTCTGTAGTTCAGGCCCGGGACTACGTAGCCCAAGATTGTGTCAGTGTCCTGCTCCAGTCCCTTAAGTGTGATGATTCTGTACAGGCCACAGCGACCGTACCCTGCAGTCATTCTGTTTCCAAATGAAGGCATAAAATCTCAGAGACTTAATTCACGTGTCCTGGATCACACAGCTGTGGAGAGCAAGGCATATCCAGGACTGTCTGAATAAAATGTCCCTTGGAACCTGACACTAGGGACATCTGGTTTCTGGTACAGTTCTAGAAGCCATGGTGTAGTGGTTTGAAAGAAATTGGCCCCCATAGGGAGTGGCACTATTAGGAGGTGTGGCTTTGTTGAAGTGGGTGTGGCCTTGTTGGAGGAAGTGTGTCACTGTGGGCGTGGGCTTTGAGGTCTCATCTATGCTCAAGCCACACCCAGTGAGACAGACCACTTTCTGTTGCCTTCAGTCATGATGTAGGACTCTCAGCTCCCTCTCTGGCACGACGTCATCTGCCTGCATGCTGCCATGTCCCACCATGATGATAATGGACTGAACTCTGAAACTGTAAGCTGACACCTCAATTAAATGTTTTCCTTATAAGAGTTGCCGTGGTCATGGTGTCTCTTCACAGCAATAGAAACCCTAACAGAGACACATGGGTAACCCTGCTGATAAAAAATGTAAGGGAGATTTTGGGGTGTCTGTGACCTTCACCATCTGTACAGAGACAAGCCACAGGAATTCACCTCAGCACTCAGTAGCCAGTATTAGCTTGAATCCGAATGGTTTATTTTTGGCATATTTAAACCCAGCACAGTTTGGTAAAAATTATTCTGGTGATAATTAATTCAATCCCATGGGCACATCAAGTCATACATAAATCTTGAACAAAGTTAGCTAAATACCGATCAGATGTGATACATCGAAACTCTTTGTAAAGCCCATAAAGATAGGTTCTATAGCTTGACAGAGAAAAAAAAAATATCGTAAGGGTCTGCGGGACTGTCCAGAGCTGGAGAAGTCTCTGTCCACCCAGGTATATCGAGCAAAATCAAGAAAGCATGTCTGCTTTAGCTTTCTGGGCAGGTGACAGATATTAGGGTCCTTCTCTTGAAGGGGCAACTCTGAGTGCCTATCACTCCACATTCCCATAGTGCTCATCTGTGAACATGAAGGCCTCTGGGCCTCCTCCAGGAGAGGGTATAGTGCACCTAAATAATCTGCAAGGTATGTGGTCATCACATCCTCAGATTGGATACATCCTTCCACAGAGAAAAGTCTGTCTCTGCCAGGGCATGTGTAGTTCATTATTATTATTATTATTATTATTATTATTATTATTTTGGTTTTTTTTTTTTTTTGAGACCGGGTTTCACTGTGTAGCCCTGACTGTCCTGGAACTCACTCTGTAAACCAGGTTAACGTTGAACTCAGAGAGATCCACCTGCCTCTGTTTCTTGAGTGCTGGGACTAAAGGTGTGAACCACTACTGCCCAGGGTGATTTAAACACAGCAAATTTTAAATGAATCACACCTTTTAATATATATATTTCTGTGAGGCACATGGAGCCCGAAGTCCCTTCTGTTTCGACCTGGCCTTTTGACTTTTCCTCCTGCAGACTTGCATCGAGGATTGTGATAGACTGAAAATCTGAATAGTGGTCATATGTAGAGATTCAATAAGTGGTGATGAGCAGGACAGAGACTATTGTAAGAAACTCGGGGATGGAGCATGGGTACAGCATCTGCAAAGAGCTGTGTCTGGCTTCTCTGGGAAGAACATGTCAGGAGGAAGCAGTGGACTCTGCCAGGCAGAGACACAGAGAGCCTAAGGGGGCCCTTGGTTCTTACTATCCAGGTGTGGGGAGTAGTAGACTCTTACAGAATCAACATCTGTATATCCAAACTCAGTGTGTCCAACTGGCTAGTGTCTGATGGTTGAGTTAGCCTGAGCTACAAAATGCAGTAGGTTCTGTTGCCTGATGCTTTCTCTTTTCTGAGACAGGGTCTCTCTATGTAGCCCTGGATGGCCTACAACTCTTTGTAGACCAGGCTGGCCTCAAACACACAGAGATCTGCCTGTCTCTGCCTCCTGTGTGCTAGGTTCTAATGCTCTCTTAAATGTCAACAGGAGGGCAGTACAGTTCAGCTTTACTCTGTCTCACAATGAAGAGTATGTTGGAGTTCTGAAGTTCAGATGAATGTTAAATTTGAAATTCTCTAGTTTGACTTACCTTGCAAGGAACCTTCGGTCTTTACATACGGCTAAGTAGACTATGAAGCGTGAATCCATAGAAGGCTGCACATAGTAGGGAAGTAGTCCACCACTGAGTGCCATCCTCTGACTCGATTTTCTTGTTTGTTAATTTTTAAGACACTATCCTCTTTTGCTGCTTGTGGTTGTGACAAACACTAACCAAAAACAACTAGGAGGAAGAAAGGGTTAATTTGGTTTACAGATTAAGGCCCATCACTGACAAACTATGGTGGTTTGAATGACTACTGTCCCATTGTATAGGCTCATTTATTTGAATACTTGGTCCCCAGTTGGTGGAACTGTTTGGGAAAGATCAGCAGTGCACTGAGGTTTCAAACGCCCATACCATTCCACACCCCACCCCCCAACCCTTGTGCTCTGTGGATCAGATGTAAACTAGTCATCTATCTGCTCCAGAGCTCATCTACTGCCCGCCAGTTGCCGTGCGTTTGGACATGACGGACTCTAACCCTCTCAAACTGTGAGCCCCCCAGTTAAACACTTTCTTATATAAGTTGCCTTGGTCACAGTAATTAAGACAGGAGTTTAGGCAGGAAATCAATCAGGACAGAAACCTGCAGGCAGGAACTGAAGAAAACACGTTGAAGGATCACCGCTTGTCCCCCTCAGGGGTGGCTCCACCCAGAGTGAACTCGGCCCATCTCCACCAGTCACTAACACCTTACTAAATGGATTTGGATGGTGTCTTAGTTACTATTGCTGTGATGAAACACCACGACCAAAAAGCAACTTGGGGAGGAAAGGGTTTGTTTAGCTTGCACTTCCACCACACTGTTCATCAATAAAGGAAGTCCGGGCAAGAACTCCTCATGGCTTGCTCAGCTGTTGTTTTTATAAAACCCCGGGCCATCAGCCCAGAGGTGGCCCCACCGACAATAGGCTGGATTTTCTTAATTGAGGTTTCCTTCTTTGGGTTGACTCGCGCTTGTGTCAAGTTGACATAAAACCAGCCTGGCTCCTTCTAAACTTTCAGGGACTGCCTAGCCCCAGAGCTGCTCTAAAACCGAGGGGCTCTGACGGGTTAAACGCGGGAGAGGCCACCACTGACACGACAATCTTAGACAGTAGGCGGCGCTGGGAGCTGCAGCTGGAGTGATCAAGGCAGGGTCAGCGTCAGGGTGAGCCCTGCGAGCAACGGACCCCACCACGGACCCACCACTCTTCCGGATCAGGTTGGGTGGGCTCGAGGATGCAGAAGCGCGGTGTAGGCTGTGGGTGTGGTCCTGACGCAGCGCAGGGCCGAAGAAGCCGGGGTGGACGACGCCGGGCAGGCCCTGACTGACGTCCTGTGCTTCGGTGGTGTCCGGAAAGCCCAGGGTCACAGGCCCATCCCTGAGAGGCTTTCCCGGACCGCATCGCGAGGCCACGCCCACCACGGGCAGACCAGGGCAGCTCGGACACTCAATCCAGACCTCGCTCACACAAGCCTCGGACTCCAAGGCCCCGCCCCCGGGGCCCCACCCACCACCCGTCAA